CAAGTTGAAGCCAAGATAAAGAAGGATATGGTGGAACTTGATGGTACTGAATTACTCTGAAAAAGAGTTTATGGGCATCATATGAAAAGAGATCCAATAAGCGTGGACTTTGAGTATCGGCCTTGGTAGATGAAATTGTATGGTGTTGTACAAGTTATTGTGAATCCATGGAACAAATGTTGAGATTGTGTGTTGTGTGGATGTAACATATATGCACACAGATTCTGAACAGGCTTGTTATTGTTGGCAAAGGAATTTCAAACTCAGCATGATCATGACATGGTGGCGTAGTTTGAATTTGAAATATTAAAATCACCTGAGAGTCTTGTTAGCGCCATTATTTGAACTTTAAAAGATATAATGAGCTAGAGGAAATTTGTGAAGGATCGGTATGGTCATTTGGCCGGCAAAGTCCTGACAATTTGACCAAGACTAACCCTACAAGAATACTGTTGATAATTCGAGCATTTCCTCTTTGAGCATGTGGCCTATTTGTGTCACGTGGCTGAACAATCCATCAGCAGGTCCATGAAAGCCAGGATAGACAACATTGTAAGAAATATTTGGAAGTGCGATATCAAACAAACCCAATTTTTTTGCAATTTGACTTTTTTGAAGAAAATTTATGTTTGTCTCCACGGGAGACTTAACTCATCTTTGGATTCTGGAGGTCGGCTACTTGGGACTCATGACCACCAAAGGTAACACGTCTGGCCCCACAAATCTTAGCTTCGAGGTGCACGACCGTGTATAGTGGACATCTTGGGTGGCGTTGACGCTTGCTTGCAGTACTCGGCGTCGAACACATGGCGCCGAGCACGGATTCGAGCAGCGGTGGAGTGGGCGGTGGAGGTCGCGAGGTTGAATGCTTCACTTTGCTCACGTTGCATTCATATCACTGCCACACGTTGCATCATTTTCAATTGAGTCAAAAGGCTGCCATTCTTTGGTGTGCTTGGCGCCAAATGTGCTCTCATGGCGGGTATTGTGCAAGTGGCGAGTCTGCTGAGCAAGTGCATGCGGTCTGAGTAAGCCAATAGGTGTGGTGCATTCAATTGAACATCAAGGAGTGCGACAAGCAAGCGGCTTGGTGGTGTGTGAAAAGGAGAAAATTGTGCATATGCATACAATACGAGGCAAATCCGTCAATAGTATGTGGCGTGGAGCGTGCATATGTTGGCCTATCTTTTCATTCACACACAATGAGGCTGGGGGTCTGAGCACATCGGCAAGGCTAGAGGCCTTTAAAGCTGTTAAATGAGTCTTGGAAGTCAAAGGTGTCCGGGACGGGTAGCAATGAGTACTCCAGATAGTTTGTTGGGGGTCCGAGTCCATAAAATTGGTTTTCGCAATGGTGTAGAGGAGAAACCTTGCACGGACGCCAACATAACTCGTGCACGCGGTGAAATAAATCCACTAGCAGAGAGTGGTTCGGTGCATCGCCAAGACAATAAAAACTTGAGGAGAGCTAGACTAGCCAAAGATATTTGGCAAAGGAGAGTGGAGTAGGTGGTTTTCGGGTGGCGGTGTAGGTGTGAGCTAGTAGGCTCAAGCTTGGAGGTGGCCAGGAGTGCTCTGGAGGTGATCATTGCGAAGCCACAGTAATTTTCTTTGAATGCACCGCACCCTCTCCCTGGCCGCTGCTTGACCTGCATGCACTTGCTCAGTTCGAAGAATGCCACTTCTGACGCTACCACGAGAGCACACTTCGGCGACAAAGACACCAAATGAAGGCGCACTTTGACTTCAACAACCATGCGTGCAACGTGTGAGTAGTGACATGAAGCAAGCGTGGTGAGAGCGGTGAAGCGATCAACCTCCACGAGTTCAATTTTTTCCAAAGAACGTTAAAAGTAGTGAAATGCACAACCTACTACATTCCACAGGCCTAGGGTGGGAGACCCACACCAACAACACCAGCTGATCACAGCCACGCACATGAGACTTCTCATTATTAAATAAAAAAAAAAAAATTCATCCCAACACGCTTTCTCTCTCCTCCACTCGTTTGGCAGGAGGCCAACACAGCGACGTGATGCCCAGCATCCTCCACTGCAGCTAAGCTCAAGACAGGAGAAAAAAAAGAAATCGACTCGCACCTTTCCTCGTCCTCACGCTAAGCCAGCGCCCTCTCCTCTTCCTTCTGTCTTCCACGATTCCCGAGACAAAGCCCCAGAGGGCAGCAGAGGGCAGCTCACAAACACGCAGCCTGCAAGTCGCCTCCAGTCCTTCCGCTGCAGTGAGGCGTCCATGCTCCACAGGATCTTGGCTGCGACCTCGGGCGCCATGTATTATGACGCCGAGGTACCGGCCACATCAATGCCACCCTAGGATCTTTAGCGGGCACCTCGGAGCCAAGATCGTGGCGGCAGGGACGATGTTACCTCGGCGCCATGAGGTCAAGCGTCGACTTTCAGTGGTCCAAAGATGAGTTTACTTCTCTCATGGGCCAAAAGTAAATTTTTTTTCAAAAAAGAGCTAAATTATAAAAAAAATTAGGTCAAGCAAACCGGACTTGGACCTCATGAAGTCCAAGTAATTGAAGTCGAGATTAGTGATCAAGGTTGTTATGATTTTGATCCAATCATTAAACCTTACGACATTACAATCCTATCAAGCAAAAACAATACCTATCCTATGATGTATTATAGATTTTGTAATATCTTGATCTTATATAAGTTCCATATAATCCCATAAGAATGATAGGATCTTGATCCTATCATACTATAACAATTGAGATAAAATAACTTTTTTAAATGATTTGGATGACAAAATGCTATTTAAAGCTAAGGTGTATTGAAAAATAATAATGTAAATAATTTGAGTTAAACTTTAAAATGTTAGTTAGATCAATAAATATCAATATTATAGACTTCAATCTTTATGACATATTAGAAGTCTTATAAAAATATATTTTGTAGAATCTGATAGGATTTGAATATTATGATATTATTCTATGATCTATTGGGCAAAAAAAGATTGTGTACCTAGGATCCCAATTTTAATATAAACCTTTGCTATGGTTAGACTAATTGTGAGTACAAAATAGCAAAGTTTGAATTTTGAAATGCATGCATCATGCCTATATATTTAGGATGGAGGAGTATTTATTTTAAAGAAGAGAAAGGGGTGTTAGTTGTGACTATGATTATGTGATTCAGTCTAAAACGATCAAATTTCAGTGAGATTTATCCATTTCGGTGAGGCCGAAACAAGATCACACCGGTAAACAATTTAGACCAAATTTGATTTTTTTTTTTACTTTAGTTTAGAGTTCATACAAGCCCATAAGTCTGTGCTGCAATAGATGGGGTCGCAATTTCGATGAATCTGCGAGGTAACCGGCAGCAATGAAGTAAAGCCACCAGAGACCGCTCGCACCAGAGAGAGGGACACAACAGCATAGATGGCGTCCGGTGGCACCAGAGAGGGACAGCGGCATAGTTGGGATCCGTTGGCCTTCGGAGGGTGCGACGGGAGGGGAAAAATTTATGCGACACCATCGCATAGAATCCTCTGTGCGACACCGCTACACCGTCACATAGAATTTTTTTTTTTCCGATGGGAGCCAGCGGATGGGGAAAATCTATTGCAATCAGTGATGGTGTTTGAACTATAAGGTGACAGAAGTCAACATGTGGGCCAGGCTGAGGCCTGGGGGCCTTTGCAATCTGAATCCCCAGTGCCGAATGATATTAATTTCCTCCCAAAAGAGATAATAAAATGACACTTATCTCAGCTTCTCAATAGAAAATAAGTTCACTACAGAAAGTGATACATCAACTACTATAGCTAGAGCATGATAATGTTCCTGGCACTGGATAATAATCAATCATATATTGTTTGCTAGAAACAAGAGAACACTACCAGTTGAGAGAAGGATGCGAAACACATTGTTATATACTCAACATGGAAATTCACCCAATTGGGGGTGATTTGGAGCAAATTACAATTTAACCATGCAACAGCTGATAGATGAAATGATTCCGGTACAACACATTACACGTATGGGGCAGTTCATATGAAGAGCTCCAGTCTAATAATATCCCAATCACTAGATTCTACAGGAAATGTCGAAAACTTGGGCCGTAAAGGCACATTCCAACATCACACAAACCATTCTACAGAGCCTTGAGCAGCATTATGCCGCTTTGGCCTTTGATAGTGCCTTCTTCCTCTGTGAGAGCATGTAACGGTACATGTGCGGACTTCACGGTGGTCCAAAGTGAAACAAGGCACCTTCTTATAAGACACTAACGCAAATAGCAAAATGGAGGCGGTTGTTGGGGAAGGCTTACCTGGAACATAAATCAGGAGGGCAAGAATAGATGTATAGAAGTAATCGTATGAGAAGTTCCATTTGTTGGGCATCCTAAGACAGTATTTCTCCGATGCCTGAAATTGGTCCACAAAAAAAATAGTTAAAAACGATAGTTATAAGCTGAACAACATGTGGACCTCTTCAGTTTCTAGTAAGATCAGTGTACCTTCATATAAGGCAAGGCAATGTAGATCAGACCAACTTCACTAGAGATACCAGTAGGATACAACAACATAAAAGGTGCTGTACCTGCAGACAATCAGTATGCAAAAAAACACTTTTAGGGGAAACTTCAATGACAAAGGTGGTAAGATTACTTTCCAGATTTGGAGCAAATCCAAATTTACCTAAGCCATAATAACCAGGAAGGTGCAAAGCCAAATGCCTCCTTCATTCCAAAGAAAGAGTATCTGATGATCTGCAAGAAACCAGCAATTCCTATTAAGATTACTTTGAAATTCAGACCATAACAAAATTTACTCTAGGTTGTATAGCAACATATAATAAAGTACTGAATTCAATGGTAGTTACACGTGAGTAATTTAGAGAATTACATCAAGTAATTTGTACCTCAGTGATAGACCAGCTTATGACCAGGGTAGTAACAAGAAGATGTGACTGGGTCTGCCAAACAAGGTTCACACTGTCAACAAACAATACAATTGTTTACTCACAATAGAAAAAAAATTGAAATAGGATGCAAAAGGTAAAAGCGCAATATCCTTTTCTAATGTGCCTGGTGTAGAAACTTGTACAATGCGTACTCATAGTTGCTTATTCCATTATCGGACTTGAAAATTAAATAATTGGCTAACCTTAACTTAGTCCAAAAAGTCACAAAATTTAGCAAATGCTTTTAAACCTAGAACCGTGTCATAAGTCAAGGCCCCAGCAACACGCCAACACATTGATATGTATCTAATCCAAAATACAAAATTACAAAATGGAAACTCTGAAGTTCATGAACAAATTACGCACGTATTCCTAAAATAAACGGATGTCATATATGAAAACATGAAGACTTGCTAGTGATGATACCTCAGGAAAACTCCACAAAACACCCCATGTAAGGAACAACCTGGATCCAATCTGTGGAAGAGTTGCAGAGACGGAGACCTCACCAACCCTATAAAGAAGACAAACTTATCAGAATAGTGACAAAAGCGATACCCCAATAGTGAAAAAAGCATATTTTTCTTCAGCTTGCTTCGCTTCAGTAAACGATCGTGAGATTATTATCACCACTACATTTGGTTTGGTGAGAGAAAATACTGTAAAGCTTATAATCCACGATCGATATCTGAGCAAGCCTGACATGTTGAAGATCTAGACTGATGTTCATGTATCGTACTGCTTTGATTGGACGGACTATAATAAGAAAAAGGGATAAATGTCCACCAACATCACCATACCTACGAGTCCATGAAGAATCTGAAGCACCAACATCGCCACCACCAGAAAAACACAGAAAGGTCAGTTAGTACCTCACAATCTTCATGTGGGTAAAACATGGACTTGAACTACGGCACTAGAAATTTCACAGAGTTTATCTAGCACAGCAAAAGCATATTACAGAATTTGAACCACTGCAAGATTTTGCTGCGACCATAAGTAAAATTTATGTAATTGCACACATCAATCTAGTTGATTAGCAGTTCTTCCTACCAAGAACTACAAGACAATTTTGCTTGTAGTACTCAAACTTTACAGCAGTAATCATTTCTATTAGGATAGATCCAGACTTCATGAGCTGAGCAAAAATATGAAACTAAGCCAAGTTTACAGCTTTACTGTGACCGAGCAAACTGAAGTGCACTACCAAAGTACTGCTAAATAAAAATGGGTGAGGAAAAAGAAACAGCTGACCTCCATGACGGCGGCTGTCTGCGCGAACTGCAGCGGCTTCTCGACGGCGGCGTAGACGGCCTTGTGCCCACTCTCCCGCAGCGTCAGGACCGCGTAGTACAGCACCTGCGCCCTGCGACACCCCCAGATCAAAGAAACACCAAATAAAAAACCCAGACACGGCCAACGGAGCAAGAGGAGGAAGATCCATCCGGAACCCAAGAAGAACAGAGGAGCACGCAGCGGGGCAACGGACGGACCATCCGAAGAAGACGACCCAGTTGTAGACGGAGAGGTAGAGCCGCCGCAACGCCGAGCCGACGCCCGCCATCGCCGGAGCCGCGGTGAGGGAGGAGAAGACGCTGGGACGGGACTGGATGGGCTTTAGGCTACTCTGACCAGGCTCCTGAGCTGGCTACTGATGATCTAGTAAAAGCAGAGACGCCACACGCATCAGATCAGATGGCATGAAATAGAGCTTCGGCGTCTCGGTAGTGGGCTGCACGTATTGAGAGTTCGATTCGATCTGGCAGCGGCGGGCCAACCACTGGCCGGATTGAATTTGGTATTGAATTGGAATCGGATCAGGGCGGATGGAGGACAGGTGAGCCGGTGGGCAGCGGGAGTTATTGCCGCTGCAGCTGCGTAACTGCCAGCCCGCCGCCCGCGCCAATTCCATCCGTGTGATCAGCAAATCTCTGTCACAAGTGTAGTACTGGACTTGTACAATGAACATGCCCTTTCTATTTTCTTCCTTTTCAGTTCTCCAATAAAAGGTACATTTTTATCCATCGGCAGTCGTCAATCTTTTATCCCTTTTCAGTTCAGTCACGGTAACCCTGTGACCAAAACAGTAGCTGCTGTTTGATCCAGAGTTCCAACTGATTTTTCAGCTCAAATCTGTGAGAAAGGCGGAGAGTGCGCATATGTCTAAAGAGTATTAACTGAAACAAAATGTTGTGATGAAGCATGGTATATAAAGCTGTTCACGTCAGCAGCCGCAAGTCATTTAGTTATGCCAAACAGACGCAAGGGAAACATCAAACATTCGAGTAGCTTCCCAAGTGACGATAAAACCGTTCAGCTAACTCAACTGTCAACAATTAGCTCAACTAATTGGGAAGAAGACGGTTCAGTTAGCATGCCCATCGCACTTCTTTTGTAATCAAATTATCACACATCTTTGAAACACTCAAAGTAATGTTACATGAATATATGATCCTGCCCAGCCAAATAAGCACACTGAGAACACAGACCAACTTACTCTCTCTGTAAATTTACTTCCTTGGCTTTCAGCTGTATAGCCTGTACGAGGTACTGGATTACGCCAAACATTGTAGACTAATTGGATTTGGTAGAAATGCGAGTTTCTATAATGCAGCAGAGAGGATCCCCAGTTCGACGCAGAGGGGTTCAAGCCCATCCTCTTCCAACAAGGAAAGGGCTGCCAGGCCATAGTAAGAATGGTAGATGTCTGGTATCCGATCATCTGGGAATTTTGTGAAGCCTCCATACTGTTGCAACAGTGAACGAAAACATATCCTGAGTTATCTGAGAATGTGATTAAGGCATTAAGCTGATAGAAGAGATTTGAGATCAATTACAGGTGACTGGCAGGTGAGCAAAATCCCGTAGAGAGCACAGCGATCGATCAAGTGATAAGCACCCAAGATCTTCAAGACACCTCCAACCCTGTACAGTGAAATTAAAAGCAAGAAAATTACTCAGGTCTTGTTCACTTGTCACATAACTAGTACATAGATTGCAAATTGAATTTACCAAAAAGCATAGCAGGTATCACTGGGCTTGTTTCTTCTCCCTTGGAATCCTCCATTAGTCACTTGTCTCTACACAAGTGGTATAGAGGAATCAGTTTGTAAGGTTTTTTTACCATTGGGTGAACGTGATCCAGTTATACTTTTGTTATTCTGCCTACGTTGATTTCAGATAAATGGTAACATGAATGAAAATGCATGGCATAGAAATAATGCATTTATCCAGATTGGGTAAAGAAAAAAATTGACTGTAACACCCCGCGTCCAAAACTGCTTATATGGCCTAGCTCCGCACGTGGAACGCGCCTGCATACGCGTAGCACCTCTCTTATACTTTCGTCCTTGCTTCGTGTAAAAGGGTTAACCCAGAGGTGCTACGTTTGGAACGACAAGGCTTATAAGCTGGCCCTCACCCTCCTAAACTTCCAAGGTGGTACTAAACCCACCAACAACAACTCCACATGTGCCACTTGGGCCAACTTCACTACTACTGCATGCTACTAATGGGATGGGGTGTTACATTGACATGTTTATGTAGTAGAATAGTAGATAAGAAAAGAAATTTCTTATTGCTACAGAATCACATGAGATGGCACGAGAGGGCTAATTGCGGAGACATGGTTCAGCACAAGTTCAACCTGAAGGCACCATTTGAGGAGCATGCAAATGTCGATTGACGTTGAATCTCTTAAGTTAGATGCCAAATCAACTTGAATGAAGCCCATTAGATGGAGAGCTGCAACAGCACAAAAAGTTCCTCCACCTGACTCGCTAACACAAAGACAGACAATGAGAACCTAAAAGACCCATTACCCAGTGGCAAGCAAAATTAAGTTCTCCAAATGAAGATGATAAATATGTACAGTAACAAATAAAAAGGTCAAATGAAATTGCTTACCATGAGATTCAGAACCAGGAACCATACCAAAGCCTCCATCATATGACTGCATATGATAACAACAAGAATTAGGCAATAGGCATTGCAGCTGTATGCATCTCAATGCAAAATGTGGCGCATTCTAAGTTTTCAGAAATCAACCTGGCAGCTAAGAATGTATTCCTTTGCCTTTAACTTGTCCATTCCTGTCCAGTCATCTAGCATTGAGCAGATTGCAGCTGCAAAGACACATCATATGCTAATTAGATCAATAAAAAAATCAAAATATAGTATTATACTAATGTAAAATGTAAATAAAGGACAGTGCTCCTCACCTGCACAGTATACAAAGCGAAGGTCTGTTTCTGCACCAATATGAGTAGGCATGAAGCTACAAAAAGATGCTTGTCAAAAAAGTCAATGCATTAAACTAGACACAGTATTCATAAAACGGAAGTCTCCTAGGCTGACTAACAACCAACCAAAATCTCACTGATAAGCAAGATCACATGCAACAACAGCATCTATAACATTTGCATTTACTCATAGCATAGCATCTTTAACATTCTGCCCAAACAGGATCACTAAGGCCGAAAGTGTAAAGATATGTAAAGGTGGCATTTAGTAATGTATAAAGTATGTCTCTCAACAAGAGAACATGACTTAGGAGTAGCAACAATCGAGCCTAGTAGATGAACAAAGTAGTAATCATATAAGTTCCGGAAACCCTAATATAATTAGGGATGTGAACAATTACATGATGATACAAAAATCACAATGGAGCAAGTAAGGCGCGTGAAACTTTTATCTTCAACTGTAAGCAGATCTACAGATGTGGAAGCAGAGATACTTGAGGACCAATTTGCAAGTATAATGGCCATGATATGGGAATAAATGCGTACCTTCCATCTGGTTGCTGGAGCTTTTTCAAAGACAAAAGAAGTGCCTTGCAGTCAATACTTGCTAGATCGTAGCCAATAATCTTGAGGATAGCAAGGGCAGAATAAGTGCTTGCAAGATGACTAACTATCATCGGCAAGGATCCTGAAACAGAGCATGCTTTAATATTTGAAACTATCAGCTTTAATATTTGAAACTATCATAAAAACACACAAACATGAAAACGTGTATAAAAGGTAGAATCAGCATTTGCCACCCATACCTTCACATTAGGCAAGGGAAATTGAGTTGATCTAGAACCACAGAATCCATAGAACAAACCTAGAAACACATGAAATGTTACATAGCAAGAATGGAACTTTAGATATCATGGTAGTTATTTTTAACAATGTACAGAGAAACTTACCAACACCTATATCATCATTTGCCTCCGGATGAACTTGAAAAGACAAAACCCATTTGGCTATTTCATCCTTGTTAATCTAAAGAGAAAAAAGAGACGCACAACTTCTCAGATCACTACATTACTTCTTACTGAAGAGTCAAAGTATCAAAGAGTACTACAAGCTGCATTTCACTCCTTTAGCAGACTATGCCATTGCCAAACCTGAGGGTACCAATGGTAAGCAATAAAAAAGACTAGCATAAACTTAACCAGTAACCATATAAGCAGCAGCCAACTGTACGAAAGCATTTAGACAACTGCCCAAACTGCCTAGATAGAGACGAGCAAAATTTAGACTATGACCTCCGCATTAAGTGCACCAGCGCCACTTGGCTACTGCACCGTCAACATCACATGGGTTTTGGGCTCCCATTCTCCTAAAGACAGAAATATGGTACTTACATTTTATATGGAACATAACAACGGTGAATATAATTGTGACATGTACAGGACAAGAAGAGTTATACCCCCTACTAGTCTGTTGCCTCTAACTCCCTTGAGTAGATTAATAGATTAATTAATTATAGGTCAGATGTTAACATCACTCATAGAAACATTGAGATGTCCGCTATCCATCCATAAGTGTAATTCATCTATCCCTGTATTTGCAACCCCCTGCATTTATCATTATGAATACTACTTGTGCTTACCAGCATGAATTTTTCAACTACTTTATCAATACTATACTTACACCAGTTGCCCCAACTGAACGAAATTTAATAGCGTTAGACAGAGGGCTGCGATTCTAACAGCTTTACTTGTCACGAGCTTGTATGTTCCTCTTCTTCCTCCTTGTCCCAGGTACTCCCTTGCTAACCAACTACCATCTAAAAGCTACTCCTAAAATAAGTACAAATTCCCTACTTTTCCAAAGGAAATATGTGTTTAGGATGAGAATCTTACAATTCTAACTAATTCTAAGTGCACAGATCTACTGCTGCCTACATTTATGTTATTTTTTGCATATACATACAATTCGGATTACACTAACTGCAATGTGAACAAGCGCACAGAGCCCCTAACAAGTAATCAAAATCCAATTTTTGCACCCGGCGAATCCAGAACATCACAAACCGCCGGCAGAATTCTTCAAGCGGATCGATCGATAAAAGACACGTCGCGGCGGACCGGGCGGGATCTTACTCGGTCGAGCTCCCGAAGAAGGGAGAGGCCGCCGACGGCGAAGTAGACGAGGGTGAGGTGGTTGACCTCCTGCGGCTCGTATTCGTCGGGGAGCTCCGTGGCCATGGCGTCGAAGAAGGCCACGTGGTGCAGGCGCTCAAAATCCCGCTTGCCCATCTACGGCGGTCGGCCGAGCGCCGGCGGTACCCCGAGATCCCCGTTTGCTGCCTGGTCCGTCAGCCACTAATCGAAGGCCACGCGGACGCGGCGACGCAACCAGCTGTGCCTGTGCGCGGACTGTTTGGGGAAAACTCTCCCGATCCGACTCGAACTCGAGTGCACCCACGGGATACCGACTTTCATTTCCACCCAAACTCTGTGCAAGTGCTGGGTAGTAAATCGAAGGATTTTTTTTTCATTTTTAATCTTTTTTACTTAGTCTTTTAATAATAACTGTTTCTAAAATTTATTACAGATCCGATCTTTTGATCGCGCGGCATGATAAAATGACGCTACTACCTATCTGTATTGGCGCGACAAAATTTGCCATGATAGAACCTTGTTACGTAACTTTCGTTGGTGTGACCTTATTGGTGTCGTGTCACTAGAAGTGGCGTGATAAGACTCATTCTTATAAAAAAACATAACTTTTCAATATGATGTTCGGATGAAGATAATTTTTATATAAAAATTGTAGATTTCTACAACTTTCTAGTTTTAAGTTTTTATTTAAAAATGTTAAGATACTAAATATAAAATTTTAGCAAACATAATAATCGTATGCTAACGTTTTTTCGCATTAGAAAATACTATTTTTTGTATTGTGTCAAATAAAGATATTTTTATATCAAAGTTGTACCTCTTAATGAGATCTACAATCTTATACTCCATCCATTCTAAATTATAAGGCGTTTTGACTTCTCTAGATTCATAGTTTTTTGCTATACACCAATATATATGTTATGTCTAGGTACATAGAAATGATATGAATTTAGAAATGCCAAAACGTCTTATAATTTGGAATAGAGAAAGTAGTTTTGAATTTTTTACATTTAAGGTCGTTAAGATGCTCGAGAAAATTATAGAAAGTTTTAGCATCATATTAATAGTGTATCGAGCTTGTCTCCTCACAAAAATTATATTTTTCTTGTATGATGTCAAATGAAGTTAGTTTTTATATCAAAAAGTTGTAGCTATCGATTAGATCAAAGACTTTTTGGTGGGAGGCCTTCATTTGAGATGGTTAAGATGATCGGGAGCTTATCTTTATATATATATATATATATATGTGTGTGTTCTATATGATGTTGAATAAACATATTTTTAATCTATATCTTTCATTTAATTAATTTTTTGTGTGCCATCAAATAAGAAATATATGATTTTTTCTATGATCACGTCGTATTCTTTTTGAACTCAAAAGATCACATCAGATACCGATCGACTTTCATTAATTTCCACGCCAAACTCTGTGCAACTGCTGGGTGGTAGCAATCCAACAATCCAATTCGAAGCCCACAAGCGAAAGGTCGAGCCGTCGAGGGTTGATGTGCACGGAATTCGGCGCCGGCGGAACGACACTGCCGTCCGATGCTTGTGCCGCCGGTACGGTGCTGGTGTGCGGAGGTGGCCGAGGGGCGGCGCCAAGAGCGGCGGCCGGCGAGCACGGGGTCGACGAAGCGGCACGGCAAGAGCGTGTGCGTGCGCGGGGCCCGGGCGGTCGTCGGGTCAGCAGAGCCGCCGTTTGGGGGGCTGTTGGGCCGCCCGCGCTACTTCCCAACCAACTGCGGCCTGCCTGTGCAGCGCAGCGCAGGCCCTCTTTACTCCATCGCCCTCGGTTGGATGGGCCATGCTGTGAAGTTGCCATGGACCCGGTCCATGCTACTCGCCGGCGTTGCGTTTCCATGGCCGCCAGGGTGGGCAGATGAGAGAGCGAGACCCCCATCCATGGCGTTTCCAGGCTTTGGTTTCTCCGAAACGAGATCTTTCGCTTCAAGACGTCGTCGTTCAACTGCAGTAGTATCACTATCACCTATCCGTTGTTTTACAAAACAAAAGGCAAACGCTAGTATTTGACTCGTCTCATCACAAGCTTTGCACCGGATTGGCGGTATGACTCCCAACCAAGATCGTACACCGAGTTCTGCTGCTGCTGGGACGCCATGCACCCGGTCCACATCAAGATGCTGAGCCACATAACTCCGGCGGGTCCAACGCCCCCCACCTGCACGCGGGCCCACCGCCCCGCCCCGCCGCGGGATCAAATACGCCACCTCCGCCCGTCCACTCCCTCGGCGCCCCGTCTCCACCTCCTCCTCTTCTCCTCGCCTCTATACGGCCACGCCCACGCCAGCAGGCAGCAGTGGTCCTAGTCGAGTCGTCTCTCTCCCGCTCTGCCTCGCTGCCCGTCGGTGGCAGGATGAAGGTTACCGTCGTGTCCCGGAGCGGCCGGGAGGTCGTCAAGGGCGGCATCGACCTCAAGGACTCGGTACGTTGTGCTCCCTCCCGCCCGCCCGCCCGCTCGCCGCCTCTTGATTTGCTTTGGAGGCTGGGTTTAGTGCCGTCGGGGAGGTTTGGTTTTCCGTTGGGGTTCGAGATGTTTCAGCTTGGACTGATTCGTTCGTGGGTTCCTTTTGCAGGCCAAGGTCGCGGATCTGCAGGAGGCCATCCATGCCAGGAGTAAGTGGATTCCTGCTTAAATTTCGCCACTTGCTTATGCTCTCTGCAGTTTCTGTATTCCATTCATTCATTTCTCGCAACAAAGAACTGTGGGTGTTTACAGTGTGCGGTGTGCCACTGTCATTCAGCAAGCAGGAATCTATGGGCAGTTTATCTTACATTGAGCTAGTAAACGACCTTTCCAAGTGTCATGTGAGAGTATAATACCTTTATTCTCGTCCAGTTGTCTTTAGTTATTGCTGCGTGTTGATTGCTGAAAAGGTTGGAAATTGGTTCAGAATTGCTTCGCTAACAGTTTCATTCTGCATCCTTCTAGAGCTCATGTTTGTATTAGAAACTGTTCTATACGTCCTGTCCGGAGAATTAAAAACTTTGCTAGCAAATTCCAAACTTTAGTGCTTGCATGGCCACTATGAAACTGCAGTGCAGCCCATGCTTATGTGATGTCACAGTATTACCGTGCTCTCCTGAATTCCATGTGTGTGCTAAAGGGCTGCGATAGTGCCAGTGGGTGTGGTATGCAGTTTGTGTATTTTTCGTCTTCCGGTTCGTTCAATTCTAGACGTGAACGAAGGAAAAGTGAGGAAGCTGCTGCAGATACAAGATGCTTTAGGCTAGCATTCATAGGGTTGAAGTGGCTAACTTAGCGAACAACCGGTTCAGTACTATGCTGCAGCAGTATCTAGTATATGCAATTCAGTCCATATGACCGTATGTCAATGACTAGTCAACCTGGGATCGTTTTGATTGGTTGCTCTCCTTGTTTGCCCTGTTTGGTAGAGATTCTTTTTGGGGTTTTGGTGCTGCAGGTCGTTAGGATCTGTTTAGGTAGGAGGGAGTTGGCCATCAGCATCAACTCACACCCTTTTGTGTTTTCTTTTCTTTTCTTTTTTATATGAAAAATACATACACTTTTGTCGGCCATGAGCCGTGGAGAACTAAATCTTAAGGGAGAAATTAGATGGGAACAGGAAGTATAGTTGAACAGTATTTGGAAGTTGGCTCTGGGACATGTTATTTGGCTCTTCAACTTTATTTGCAAATAGCATCCGTGCTACTTTCAGTCAACGTTCATTAAATTTATTACAGTTTAATTCAAAGTATGTAAGCATGATTGTTTTTGTCAAAAACATATTTAATAGGAGAAGTATGTACTCTACAGTTTGCACAAATGCTCTCCTTAATATTTTTTTGTGTCTCAAGGGTATATAGTTAGAAGTTTCTTGTTATTGGCCTATTGCTTGACGGAACCAGAAACTGTTTCTAGAATCTACATTCCTTCAATATATGTTGTTTTCTGTTTTTCAACCTCCAAGTGCTGTTGGGATTCTAATTCTGTATGTTAACCTTCTTGAAATATCACATTTTAGCCTTCTGGATGAAAATTTAAGAGGCGTCTTGTGCCCTCATGGCATTTATTGTCACATTCATAGGCACCGCCTTCTCAGTTGTACACTCTGCAGATTAGTTGATCAGCATGCTAGTCTATTTACTTTCCATAATGAGTGGTGGTGAGCACAAGCAGTGATTATTCCTGTTGGACTACTAAAGAAGTTTTGCTGGCATGTTCATGCTGCCATGTGGTGGAGTGAGACTTGAGAGTATCTCATCATGTATGGTTTGTTATCAGTGCAGTTTAAATGCCCCAAATGCTACTAACATGGATTGCTTAGCTGCTAAGGCAACCTGGTGGTGTGCTGCTCTCCTCTCAGCTTTTAGACCTGTAGCATAGGCAGATATTGGCCAAATGTGTTGGAATAGCAAGCACTTCCTAAACTGGCATGCTGATTTTGCAGCTTGTTTACATATCCTAATGTAGCTGCATGTTGCTCTACCAAAAGTATACATACCAGAATAGGTGGACTGAGAAGTGAACTGACAGTCTTTCAAAGTAGAGCTAGTAAACATTACAAGAGTGCTAAAATCGTTTTACTGGAAAGCTAAGTGTAGTATGTTTTATTGGATGCAAACTAATGCTATTCTAACTTTGTGATTGTGCCATTAGTTGGTAATATTGGGAATACTGCTAGAATGTTTAGTCTGGGTTGGATGGAAATATTTGATCATTGGATTCGCTCTGTTTTGTAGTTTTGCTTTCTACTGTCATTTTTCCTCCCTGTGGATGTACAGCTTTTCTCCTTATGTGTGTTATTTGCTAACCGATTCTCTCTCTGTACAATGCAGCTAAGAAATATTATCCTTCTAGGCAGCGGCTCAACCTCCCTTTTCAACCTGGAAAGGTGGGAAGCCAGTTGTCCTCAATCCAAGGCCAGCCTGTCAGAATACTGCGAGAAGGGTTCTGGGTCACTGACAGTGGTCTTCAAAGATTTAGGACCACAGGTCTACTACAGCACGCTGTTCTTCTTTGAGTACTTGGGTCCTCTTATCATCTACCCCATGTTCTATTATTTGCCCGTCTACAAATTCTTCGGGTACGAGGGGAACGGGTCATCCACCCTGTCCAGACCTATGCTATGTACTACTGGTGCTTCCACTACTTCAAGAGGGATCATGGAGACGTTCTTCGTGCACCGTTTCAGCCACTTAACATCGCCCCTGTCAAATGTCTTCAGAAACTGCGCCTACTACTGGACCTTCGGCGCTTACATTGCTTACTACTGCAACCACCACTGTACACCCCAGTGACTGATCTGCAGATGAAGATTGGGTTCGGTTTCGGGATCGTCTGCCAGATCATGTAAACTTCTACTGCCACATCCTGCTGAGGAACCTCAGAAGCCCAAGCGGCAGCGGCGGTTACCAGATCCCCATGGCTTCTTGTTCAACATCGTGACGCGGCGCCAATTACACCACTGAGATCTACCAGTGGGTCGGTTTCAACATTGCTCACGCAGACTGTGGCAGGTTACATCTTCCTTGTCGTGGCGGCAGCTATCATGACCAACTGGGCGCTTGGCAAGCACAGCCGTCTGAAGAAGGCAAGTGTCATTCTTACCTGCGTACTGACCATTACCTTTGGAAAATTTCATAGCTTTACTGAAACATTTTCTTCTGCAGCTGTTTGATGGCAAGGATGGAAGGCCCAAGTACCCTCGCCGCTGGGTGATTCTCCCTCCATTCCTGTGAAGAGGTGGTGGCTGTTGGTCGGCCCATTGGGTGTTGTTTGGTTGTAGCATTGGTAACGTAAATGGAAAGGAATTAAAGCTGTGGGCATTACGGCAAGACATACCATTGGAGTAATTTCTTTTTCATTTGCGTTACAGTTGTGGGAACCAAACAGCACGTTAATGCCTACAGTGTCCCCAGCACACAGAAGTTCGAATTCTTGAATGTCATGCAAACAATTGTACTAATCGTGTCTTTTTACTGGTTGAATTTCGATTCTGTTGTCCAAAAATTATAATCTGAAAGATGGTTTTTATTTTATTTTCTTGGTATTGTTTCACAATCTTACGTGGACCTGTCTTGATACAATCGAAGGTTCATCTGATGTTATCTTCTTTCCCGCTCCCATTTGTCCAAGCAGAAGTGAATGCATCGTTTTGACGCTTGGCGTTGCTGTCCTGTGCTATGACCCTGCATATTAATCTGAAGCTTGTGATGCTTGACATTGTTGCCGTCAATTTTATTGCACGGCATACAGCTTCAAGGTGAATGATGACTTGCAGACTTTTGTGGCCCCAATTATGTTTGATTCTGTTAGTCGTTTGAACTCTCGCTCTCGGTAGTAGCAGAATTCTTACTCTCATCGAGAGAGGATGACACTAGGAGTTAGGACAATTTTCTGGCTTATTTCTCACACAAACTCACACAAATGCCATGCCAACATGAGGGGTTGGAGATACATATTTATAGGCTGCTAGCCAGCCAAACATATGCCAAGATGCTAGTCTAAGATGCTAATATGCTGTTCTAATATGTTGTCCTCTAATATGCTGTCCTAAGATGCTGTCCTCCAGTCAAGGTACACCATGCTGCTGGGCAGCAAGATGCTGCTGTCCTCCAGTCAAGATACACCATGCTGCTGCAGCCCCACAAAGACTGCTGCAGCCCCACGTAGACTTATCCATCAGATTCCTGGATGGCACAGCTATCAGTTATCATGTGGAGTACCGACAGCATTTTACTTTTGAGGTTGCCATCCTTGTCAAAAAAAAGAAAGAGAGAGAGAGAGAGTCATTACTACTATGATTTGACCGTATTTTGTTTTAGTTCTAGTCTCAGAGCCTCCATGGGTGATGGGGCCATTACTACTATGATTTGATGTGAAGAAAAACTGATATTTCCTTTGCAATGCAGGACTTTTTCCTGAATCCTGTCTTTTTCTTGTGAAAATGAATTGACCCCCTGATATTTTTGTATGATTACTGCAAAATTCTTGTGTTCCAAAGGGATCTGAATGTTCATCATGCAATGGCAAGTTCATGTATGTTGAAATGAATGGATTGGCAGAAATTTGTTGAAATGAATAAATCCCCTGAAATTAAGATCAGAGTTGGGCTCGGCTGAAATCCTTTAAAGACAACTAATCCTCTGATGATTAATATATGTTCTCTAAAGGAATATCCATATCCAAGTCATCATATACATGAACTGCACATTCAAGACCTAAGATGGTTGGTGGCATTTCACCAAATTAGACCGGAAACTTTCTTGTTGACCGCCACTTCCGTGGCGTGCTCTCTTGTCGCCGGTCTCTTGCGACCATTGACCTGTACTGCTCTTATTGTCAGCTACGACTACAAGCGACAAGCTAGAGGAGCAGTGACCAGTCAATTGCAGTGTCTCCAGCGCCAGCCTTTCAGCTCCTGTACTGCAAGTTTTCCATTTACCATTTGACACTTCAGTTCATCTCAACCAATCCACAGCCACACGATCTCTTGGGATTTTTTCCCTTGATTTTTTTACGTTTTTCTTTGTTGATGAGTTATATATGATCGTCGGAGTTTGACCGGATTGACCAGTTGAGCTGGTCATTTGCGTCTGCCTGATACTGCCTTGCGAATGGCACACTTAACAATTGGCACTGAAAAGGTCAGTTTGAGCCAAACATAATGATCCTAGAATTTCTACAGCAATTCCAAGGTTGACTTTTCATTATTTTTCCTGTTTGTGCCCCATCACTGGTGTGGTAGCAGCAGTCGGTGCCCAAAAGATGGTGCAGCATGCAAATCACAAGGTAGTCATGGATCAGTGAGAATTGTTTAATTATGACATCAGCGTGGCAGCAATCTCGAAGCTGACTTCACATGATTGCTGGACCTGGGACGCCAATCGTCTTCCAAGGAAGATACGGATGCAGTTGCCGTTCAAAACACCAAACTTAATAGTAGTATTTCCTAGTAGCTCTGATGATGAAGACTCCCATGCAAATTTTTGCAGGATATATGGGGTCTAATAGCGAATTTTTGACACATTCTAGTCTCTAGAACAGCCCGAAATATATGCAATTTATATGGAGGAAGCAAAGTATCTACATAAGTAGAAGAGGTCAGGTTCCCCCCCCAAAAAAAAGTAGAAGAGGTCAGCACAAGGACACCCAAGTTTATCCTTTCCCACCACTTTATTTTCCTTTCTTATCTTTTTCATGATGATTATGACGCACTCCAATGAAAATCAGCCACGCATCATGCGATGGGAACCGCACCAGATACTCCCAGGCATTGACCAGGTCAACGCAGCCAAATCCATATCTTTTCTTACACTTCAACTTCTTCTTTTTTTCCCTTTTGAAATCATTGCTCACTGATTTTTTAGATGTAAAAATATCTTGAAAGGGGTTCAATCAGATTCACATAAGCTTTTCCCCATGGCCCACCACGATGCCAATGGGCAGTACACACAGTGAAGTCCACGGAAAAGGAGTCTGAAATCAAGGAGAAACATGAGGCTTTATTTGGAACACACAAAACAAAAGCACACGGTTTTTTTAGTTATCACTGTAAAGAAAAAGGCATTAGCTGGACGACAATGCCGCCCTCTGTACTCTCACCACATCGCTAGCTGTTTTGAGGGTTGGGATGATTTGTTCTTCTTCGTTTCCTTTGCCTTCCTATTCCGCCACTAACGTTGGCGAGCAACCGATTGGACCCTTATTACATCCGTCATTTATAGACCTTGAGATTTACTTAAGATAAAGGTCCGTTCGCTTGTCTTAAAATCTGGCTTGTTCGACTTTTTTTTTCAGCCGGAACAGTGTTTTTCTCTCACAACAATTTAGACGGAACAATATTTTGGCTTGTTTTTTTCAATTTAAATTCAATAGTTTAACGGGACCAAAATTAGGCCAAACCAAATTATTATAATTTTTTCTCAAATCAAATTATTATAAATACAAAAGATAGCAAGTTTTCAGATGACAGCACAATCACGTGTAAACTGTCCAAGCGGCGGAAGTTTTCAACTACCAACACCCGCCACCCGGACATCCAGGCAAAGGCCGCCACGGACCGGAATTTAACGGAAACCCCCTCGCTTCCCGGATCCACCGTTTCTTTCCATTCTCATTCATCCATTCCCGTTTCAGTCCTCACCAACTCCTCCTTCCAGAACTCCAAAGTCTCCGATCCTCGATTCCGAAACCTGCCGGATTTGCGACCAGGCTTCGCCGTCGTCGTATGAAACCATAACCAACCAGGTCAGTTCCAGAGGAGAAAAAGGAAATCTTTTAGGTCGTTTCGCTGCGTGTTTTGCGACTACTTCTTGGTGCCATGGCGGCGCTGCTTCGCGCGCGCGTTTAATCTGTTCGTGGGAAAGCATCCATAGGTTCCTGTTGATTTCATGGACCAATAGGAGCCACGGAGAACTGCGAGCGCTGTTAGCTCAGGTGATTCGTTTGTTTGTTTCCATCCGTGTTCTTCAGAACGCGTTTTCATCTGTGCTTAATTTGGTTGCGTTTTTGTTCCGCGCTGATTTTTGTTGGGAAGGAAAAAGATGCCTTTTTTCTTTCCATCGTTTTTGTTTGGATCGGTAACGGTAAGAGAAGATGTCTGCGATGCCACCGTTTGGGCTTTGGTGACTGAAATTACTGCTTGTTCCTTTCTGTTGGGCTTTGGTGACTGAAATTACTGCCTGTTCATTTCTGTTTGTATGCACATCAGGATTAGTGTTTCCTTCTGTTTATGATTGTTTTCGAGTTCTGTGCCTGACGGGGACATTAAGCACTGACCAACAAATCTGTCACGTTTTACGGAACCTGTTGGAGACGTGGGGCTAAAAGGTGATTGTTTTTTTAACGTTTTCATGGTTCGAGTGACATGTGGAGTCATGCAATTGCTCCATCAGTGTGTTCTCCCACTTGTGAAACTTTGAGCAATCATACTGGTGTGTCTCTCACTCTCTTTATTCTTGGCTTTGTTTTCTGAAGATAAGTTTCTGGCGGATCATGATCTGATTGATCGAACAAATGAAAACCTTATTATGTTAGTCAGTAGAGTAATAAGAAGTCGACAATTTCTCTTAGAAGTTGAAACAGATTTCGTAGCTTGCAGCAGAGTTTCAGTGGCCCTTATAATTCAGTACAAGGCATGCGATTTGGAGACTTTCCTTCAATTGAACTGTCACAGTTCTTGCTAGTTGTTCTGGTTAACAGAATTAGACAAGCGGTGTGGTACATATTAGTACTTCAACTCATTTTCTGCCTTTTGAAATTTTGTACGGGGTTACTTACATTTCGGCTTTTTTTTTTTTTCCTGGCACTCTTAATTTTTTTAGTGCTTTGTAGATGGACATTTTTTTTGGTTAGTTCACAAGAAATGTATGCCCTTATGTTTACTATTTCTTGCTCGTGTTCATTTCCTAATAATGCTGGCAATAAAATACTGGACATAAGCTTAGCAGTACATGTTGCTTAACACGTGGCTAATATTTCCCAAAGTTTGCTTTCCCCCATTAGAAGCTTCCTCGTTCTCAGTTTGCACCGAGGTTTCTTCTCTTTTCTTTTGTTTCTTTAGAAATGCGGCAAGAGAATTGCCGACTGAAATGCACTGAGGATGTTTGGCCATGGTCCAAGTACTTAAGTAAAAGAAGGCCTGAAAATCACAAAGTTTTTCTTCATCTGGGTGGCGTACTGGCGTATAGCTCATTCCTCTATAACCATCTTATCATTGATTAGCATTAGAGACACTAATCTGATTATTGATTAGCAATGGATACACGAACTAACACGGATAGGGAAATATATCTTATAATTAGCCTGCATTAATAAATGCCTCCATTGCAGTTGGGGATTTCTGTCTTCATGTTTCCGGAAAGCAGAGTGTTATGTCGGCATCTTTGGTTCATTAGTCTAGAAAAGATGGGAAAAAAGCTTTGTTAAGTTGGCTTTTATTCGCACATTCATCGATTGTGGTGCAAATTATATTCTATCTTACTTTATGCGTTTTCTCAGGATTAGCTTCCTCCTTTAGCTTACTGAATATATGGACACTTGGTTTGGTTGGAGACCATCTTTTCCTGTATTAAGTTTGTTCGGCACATACACTTTTCGCATATGGTCTGGAGACAATGGTTTATATGGAGTTGGATAGCCATTAGGTTTGTTAATCAGTGGACAGTCTGTTCATGACAGGTGGGAAAGTTGAGCAAAGCTGAAAGCGTGTTCCTTATTTTGCAAGGGTGGTGCTCGTAAGGAACCACCCCACCCTCTTCTTTGCTGGCGGGAGAACACCAAATGGCCCAGCTGTTGCACCATCAGGATTCTGCATATCAGGATTCTGCGTTCTATGGCAAGGAATTGCATGGGTGCCGATGGGGTATTCTTCAATTCTTTGGATTTCGCCGTCGCCTGCGGTCCCCAAAGATGCTACCTGACAAGAAACATGGTCAGGAGAAAAACAGTCGTGGTAAGTTAGTGAGTCCTTAATTCTCTGGTTTTTGTTAAATGGATTTGAATACTAGCATAAGGTTGTGGAGTGCAATTGGAAATTCATGTGTCTAAAACTATTTTTGTTTGATCATCAAGATAACTGGCGAATCTAATGATTCAAAGTAGCTAAACTGTTTACAATTTGGCTTTTACAGTGTACTGATCTTGGTTTGTCCTTAAGTGTAACTTAGTTAAAACTGTGCTTTTGTGTTCGTGTGCATGAATAGAATAAGACAAATTATGCTCAGAATCCATACTATTTATCTTATGATACAGGAAGTAGACACCGAAGCCACTGTTATGCTCCATTGACAAACGAAGACAGTGGAATTCTGGATGATGAAAAAAATACTGAGGTATATCAGATAACCCATCCTTGAATTTCAATTTGACTTTTTCCCCCCTTGAATAGTACCTTTTTTACTGTATTGATCTCCTGGTCTGTCTTGAATAAAGCATCTTCAATTCCTATATGTTGCTTGATGGTTAAGCACTTGAATTTAATGCATTACCATGCTCTGGCTATTTGTTTCCCTTTTAGTTCAAATCAGTACTAATTTGTCTGAACTGTGTCTGCCTTCTGCGAATTAGTTACTACTTGTGTGCATTTTTTGTGGTTTTTTTTAACTGTAGAGTTGGTATATCTGATGCTTATTTGGATATAGTGTTCAATACAAGCAGTTTATAGAAGTTCCTACTTCCAAACCTACATATAGTTCTACACGGACAACTAATTCATTTGAAGATGATTCCCCTTATTCCTTTAATTTCTTCTAATTCAGGTAACCAGAAAACAGAAGACCTCAAAAAGGAATTCTCGTAAGGCTAGTTTGAGGTCCTTGATTCTAAGGAAATTATATGGAAAGGAAGGTCAGAAAGAAAAGATGCTTCCAGTTGCACCAAAGCTACTCCGCACTATTTCGATACACTATCTGAAAAGTAATGAATATGTTCTTGATGGTGAATCCGCTTCGAGTTGTGATGGTTCTTCACATAGTAGTAAATTGTCGATACAAAATTCTACCAATATGAATTTGCACCATGCTACATCTTGCATCCCAGATGGTTGTGATAGTGATTTAAGTTCTTCACTTCTCCTAAAGAGAGACGACATCCGTATGAGGCGAAAGAGCCACCGTAGCATTTCAATGGATGGGGTTCTTCATAAGGTCCCTTATGGAAAGAAGGTGTCTGGAGATGTAATCAGTGAAGGTCTCCCCCGATCAGCCTCTGCCACATATGATAGGGATGGTGTGAAACCTTACTTTGGTACTGCTACAAAGAGGCATGTAAATCAAGGTTTTCGGCGTTCACATTCCCTCAGTGAATCTTGGGAAAATTACTCGCGCTTACTTGATTCCATTTCAAGTAATGAATCCAAAAGAATACTGACCAACTCTAAGTCTACCAGGGATCATTCCCTAGATGGCCCTAGTGTGAGTACTTCATTGCAAAGAACTTCTGAAGCCTTCAGGTCTCAAGGTGAAAATCTTGTAACTGCAGAAGATGCATTGGCACCACATGTTCAAGAGAAAACTGACGTCAATATAAATGTGGAAGTTGCTAAGGGTGAGAGCTCCAGCGATATGGTTGCTGGTGGCTCTGAAAATCCTGCTTTACCTGACGAGTACGTTGATGACAAAACTGAAGAAGACACATGCACTGCTCCTTCACCTTCAGAAGCTGTTGATATCTCAGAAGAACAGAAAGTAAGTTGTGATGATAACAATCAGATTCCCTCATCTGAAGTCGAGCTGTACGATGCCTGTTCTACATCATCAGAAGTTGACATACAAGAAGAACATGCAGAAACTTATGATGATGATCAGATCCACTCATCAACACAGGCTGATGCATGTACTGCTCTATCTTCAAAGGAGATCATTTCAGAAGAACACTCCAATTTCTCATGACAACCAAATGCACTCATTCCAGATTTCAAAACCCACAGAAGGTACTTTTTGTGTTCCTTACCCCAGTCACGAATTTGAAGCGGACATAAGTCTAAGCTGTGAACAAGAAACTGAAAGCCCAATGTCTGTTCTTGACGTGGCCTTCTCAGATGATCCTGATCTTCCGGTGAAACGCACCCCGCTGGATGGTGAGAATTTCATTTAGATTCGGAAAACCCTATGTGCATTATTCTGACCAATTTATATTAAATTATGACCCAAAATCATATCTTGCACTAACACTTCAACTTCTTGAATTTACTCTTGCATTGTCTTCTCTTGCTTCAAGCACTACACGCAATCTTTAGTTACATTTTCTTGTTTTTGCCACTCGCAGATACGTTGTTGAACCCAAGAATTCTCCATTTAAATGATGCTGATGCTTCAACTGGCGCTGCTATCGTACAAGAAAGTGACTTTGATGGTCTCCAAGTAGATCCAAGGCACGAAATTGAGTTCAACTATGTGAAGGATATATTCAAAAGTCGAGTTTCAGCAACGAAATACTGTTTGATGAATGGTATTCACAGAACATTACAGCTCTCCAAGAAGTGGATTGCCAACACTACGAGGCCGCGGCAGCATCATTGGACTTCACGGATATGTCCGCTGATCAGTTACTTTTGTTCGACTTGACAAATGAAGCCCTGCTGGACAGTTACAATAAATATTCTGTTTCAAAGTCTAGATTCTACTGGTTCTCATCTTTTGATAGACCGAAACCTGTGGGAAACGGTGTTCTCGAGGAATTGTGGTCTAGAGTGAGCTGCCATCTGGATGAACGACCGTGGTCCAGCATCGAAGTCGACACGAATTTGTCGAATGACCTAGGCAAGAGCGATCCCTGGACGAATTTTCCGAGAGATGCTGATTATCTGGGGAACAAGTTGGCAGACTTTGTATTGGACAAGCTTCTGACTGAGCTCGTCCTTCAGCTTGCAGAGTTTTAAGTGTAGGCATTTATTTTGGTCCCATTTTTTGTGTTTAGGAGCTCTATATTGTGCAAAGGCATGGGATCATTATGTTGTACATACATAGTACAAATTCTTTTTGTTTTTCTGCGAGGACAAGATAATCTGGGGATTATTGTTGTTATTAGGTCTTAGGAATTCAATTTATGTGGTGGAAAGTTTTGCCTGATGAGTACTAGTAATGGGAGAGCAACATTTTGTTCCACTATTTGTACACCTTGAAAAAACTATTTGTATGTATAATCTTGAAAATGAAGATTTTGAAATAGGAATTTGTCAATTGTCATGCAGGCAAAGGTGAAAAATGGCACCTCACGTATCGATTAAAAGCTAAAAATTTGTTGGTGATTTTTGGAAAATAAGTCAATAAGCATGGAAATCTGAATCGTTTTGGGTTGTTTACCGGTGTGGCTGCAAATTTACCGAGCTGCAAATTTACCGAGATACTGTGGTCGACCAGAACCATTCAGTGACTGAGACGTGTGGGCTTTACTGGGCTGATATACCGAGCTGAGCTGGGCTTGAATCAGCTGCTCGCACCAATTCCATGATGTGTGCTAACTGCTAAGCCTGATGGACCCTAAGCATGAGGCTTCGATTGAACCTGCTCAGGTGCTCCTGGATTCGGCCCAGCTAATAAGCTGCTAGGGGGCAGACATGGTCCAAGCCATCTGCCAAACTGAACATGATTGATCCCAAAGAAACGCGTTCTGGTCCAAATTGACAGGTTCCACTGACGACGAAGATAACCATTTAAGCTCGTACGCTCAGTTCGTCCTACGTGCGTATTTTCTCTATTCCAAATTATAAGATGTTTATTTTTTAAAATACATTATTTTACTATATATCTAAACATAATATATATCTAATTATATTGTAACTTAAGTTTCAGTATCTAGAAAAGTTAAATGAACTTGTAATTTAAAAGCGAAGGAAGTATTTTGATAGTACAGTGGTATACGTGATAACCTGAAGTGAAGAGAAGCATCCAGAGAGACGATGATCCACATGTCCGAAAGTGACGAAGAGAAAAAAATTTAGGAGGAGCTGAATAAAAGAATAGATGCTTTTTATCTTCTCTTAATCTTAACCTCTCCTACCTAATACATATATGTATAAAATTTCAAAGAAAGATTTAGAAGGGCTCTCACGTGCCTAGGATCGGTAGGGGGCTAGAGCCCCCTAGCCCCACCGCTACCTTCGTCACAGTCCGAACACTTGCTAATCTGAAGTTGGTAGTCGGTGTCCTTCCATGGAGCTGGAGCTCGACCTTACTTCAGTTATCTACTTTTTGTGCACGGTGTTCCAATTAATCTCTCTCCAAATCTGTGAATTTTCAGTAGTATATAATTCAAAGCCCATTCACTATCGTATCCTATGCCACGCATGGCACCGATAGCAGATATTTGTCGATCATCATGATATGGATGACTCCAGAGCCTTCTTCACTCATGGTGGCCACGAAAGGTGACGCAATTCACATGCACACACTGCAGAGCAGATCCCATCGTAGACTCTAGAACCTCAAGCATAGATCGACGACCTGGCTCCGTTCGCTCGTGTGAACTTTGCCAAACCTACCGATAAACACCTGCTTTAATTTGAATTGTCATGAGAGAAAAATATCATTAAATTTAAAAAAACAAGTTCGAATAAACCAAATTTAAGACAATGACGGGACCTTCTCTTCGCCACCGACTTTTTTCTTTTCGGTGGGCGAATCCAAAGAGATTTTAAGAATTCGGATTAAAAAAATCTCAAAATCTTAAATCTCATCCAAACAGTCTAGGATTATAGAGGATTATAATACACACAGAATCTAAAAAAATAAATATTATTTTAATCTAGAGCCTGAATTTTAGAATCGCATCCAAACATACCCTAAGTTTGGCATGCATGGCAAATGGCATTGTTCTCCCTGAAATCAAATACGTAAGCAGAACGGATAAGCCCATGCCCCATGACGGGTAGGCACGACGCAACGCATGTGCCTACCCAGACGACGATGCCACGTGTACATGAAGGTGGCGTACGTCCTTTTTTTTCTTAAAAGAAAACAAAGAAGGTGACATTATTTCATTAGTAGCTAGTGGACTTTAGTGTTCGTCATCAGCCAATAAACGGTGCCGCATATAGCTGTATAGCTTCTGCAGCAATAGCTAGGGTTTTAGCTATTATTTTGTTTGCTATCAAAACACGCTAATCTCGCATAATATCTGGCTTGTCAAATATATAGCAAGTTTTTTATTCAACTTTTGCTTATCAAATCTTTAACAAGGCAAATTTTGGTCAAAAACCAAGCATGCCCTACACATAAAAACGAACATTATTGAGCATTATACACTACTACAGAATGGACTTGTTGTCCCGGGCGGTAACGGCCTTTAGTCCCGGTTACCGCGCCGGGACAACGATTCCGGGACTAAAGGTGCCGCCTTTAGTCCCGGGTCATCGAGCCAGGACTAAAGAGGGACCTTTAGTCCCGGTTGGTGTTACCAACCGGACTAAAGGCCCTACAGCCGAGCAAACGTGGCCGCACCCTTTAGTCTCGGTTGGTAACCCCAACCAGGACTAAAGGTTCCTTTTCTTTTTCTTTTTCTTTTTTTTTTGTTTAATTTGTTTTCAGTTCAGTTACACGTATTTCTTTAATATATAATATGTTTTTATGTATGTATTCTACGCTGCTAATATAAATACACGCACGCATATAATTACATCTAATTCTCATCTCGAGCATTATTATATTCAAATAAAGTATGGACATATATATATTATAGATATATATATGTATATATACAACACTTTCATAATCTTGTTCTCGAAAATAACGATATCAATAAATATTTAATTTACACAATTTATTCTTTAGGATCAAAGTAGAACTCGTCGTTGGGATTTAGCATTTTTTCTAGAAGAAATCCTGCTATTGACTCTTGAACTGCTTTCAGATGGTCTTTTTGCATGACCCTTCGTTTCAACCATTCAGTCTTGCATTTGAAATAAAAGGAAAAGTATTAATACATATATATATATATTCATTTAAAAATAAATAAAAAATTGATATATACGTACTCTGAGGATATCTTTAGGAGTTCTTCTTATGTGCGCAGTGATAAATTCACAAACGTAGTATCCACACAAGTTATTACCTGGTTGCTGCCGCAAACACCACTGTACGAGAAGATCTTTCTCATCATCTCACACGTAAATTGAAGTACGATATAATAATTAAACACGTGGGGAAGTGTATATAGTACAACTTACTTGTATTTCAACTACATTAAGTGGTGCCTTGCAATCCTTGCGATGTTGCCGAATAAACTCTTTCCAAACCACAATGTACACCAATAATGTACGATCGTTAATAAATTATGGCAAAGTCTATTCAATAATAGTTTGCGCGAGAGATCAAAATTACCCCTGAATAATGTCTATCATATCTTGGTATAGTGCCCGCTCTTTTCTCAACGAGTCAAAGATTACTAACCGACTTGAGTTTAACTCAATGACAATGAGTATCCAGTGAAAGCTGCATTGGTTTATACACACACGTACATGCATATAAGTTGTATTGATATTTGCATAAAATGTGTAGACTACATTATTATTAACACTTACTCAAAGTTGTACGGGAAAAGTATTATTGTCTTGTCGTGCTGCTTCACGAAGAACATCATGATATTCTCCTATGCTTCAGATACCCACCGCTCCTTGATAATAATACCAGTTTTGAATACGATATAAGGATCAATGAAGCCAACACTGGTGTCTTGTATTCTTTGGAGCTCTGACATCTGGAATCTGTATATAAATATAAGTTACATGTGAGGATAATTATATACACATACGCATGGAAGTGAGTTTATTAAATAAAAGTAAGAATCACTTACAAACAAAAGGAGCTAATGATTGATTTGTCCAGAGCGTCCCAGTGGTATAGGTGATGCAATTCTTCGAAACTAATATGTAAGATGTCATCACCACGGAAGTAATGATGGTCTCTAAATCTGACAAAGATCCACTGCTCACCCCTGCCACACGCCTGCATGTACCACTTGTTAAGCAAGTACATTTGTGTACCCAATTCATTCAGAGCCGTAGGGTTGTACAGACTTTTGCCATATTTATAAGTCTTTCAGGTATCAACTTCTAGGTTCTGGATTGGAGCTTTGCCCGTCAATTGATCCAAGGTTAAACCAGTATCTTCAAAAAAAGCATTAAGGGCTTGAACCGATATTTCTACAGAGTTGTCTGGTCGATAGACTTCTATGTTGGAACCATATTCATTAGCAACAACAAGATTTTGCATTGGTTGCTTCTGTTGTCCGAGTTGTGGGACATCCTTTCCTGATGCTCTTTTCCTTTTCTTATCTACATCATGTGACTTCACGAGGGAGCGGTCATAGTCTGATAGTGGCGAAGGCTTACGAAGTTCAATTATCTTTTTCTTGTGAGCATCGACCTTCTGCCTCAGCACATCTCATGGTATGTAAAAGTATGGCTTCTCCTTAAGCTTCGCTTGACTCTTGTTTTTTATATCTATAAAAAAAATCTTTCACTTTTTTGTCTTCTTCAGCTGCTATTTGCTCATCAGTCTTTTCAGGAAGTATTTTTTGAGAAATAACTCTTTTTCTCGGGGTCTTCTTTGTCGTCGGGACCTTAGATGTCTTTGTAGTGCGTCGCTGTGGAGGGGGTGGGGGCGGTGTTGGAGACCGGCGTGGAGGCGATGAGGCCGGTGTTGGTGGAGACCGACGTGGAGGTGTTGGAGATCGTTGTGGAGGCGGTGGGGGCGGTGTAGGAGTTGGAGATCGTTGTGGAGGCGATGTGGTCGGTGTAGGAGTTGGCGATCGCCATGGGGATGAAGTCGTCTCGCCCCCCGCGATGCTGTGATGAGATGGGGAATGAATGATTAGGCTAGGCTGGGGGGAGACCCTGCTACAAAAACAAGTTGTGTGTCAATTATTTTTGAAGCCAATAGA